TGCGCGTGACGGATGCTGACTGTTTTTTTTTTCATTTTTTTACTTTCTGTTTTTGTTTTATTCTATGTTAAAATAATTCAGGATTAATTTCTAAATTTTCAAAATATTGTGAATTGTCAAAAACCATTCTTGAATTCAAAAATGTTAGTAATTTACAAAAGAATGATATTTTTTTAATTTTAATGAACTTTTTATGAACCATTTTTATGAGCATTTTTAAATAATGATGACCAATTTTTTGTATTTGAACAAATTTTGCATTTGATGAACAATTTTTGAACTTGATGAACAAAAGTTGTATTCAAGAACTTTTTGAAAAAATGATGAACAAATTTTGAATTCAAAGAAGAAATTTTGAATTTGATGAACATTTTTTGAGAACTACGAACAGAAATAGAGCTTGATGAACATCTTTTTAGTTTGATGTACAATTTTTTTAACCTAATGGACAAAAAATATAATTTGATGAACATTAATTAAATTGTTGAACATTTTTTACATGGTTGAACATTTTTTGAATATAATGAACAAAAATATGTTTATGAATTTGAAAAGAAATAATGCGAAAAAGTGAAAAGTTAAAGAATAAAAAATAGAAAAGAAAAAGGAAAACAATAAGAAAATAAATAAAAAGTTACGAAAGAAACATAATAAATTAGTAGGAAAGAAAAAATGAAATAGAAAAACGGGTAGAGAAAAAAAAAGGGTTTTGGAAAGCTTCTGGAACTTTCCCAAAACCGGTGGGAAATAAACCGCAAAATGGGCCGGCCATACGCGCTGTATAGGATCTGCGGCCGAACTCATTCGGTCCTTCCCCCGAGATTAGAGTGGAGCTCTGCTCTTGCCTTACTCCTTCTCACCCGCCGCCGCCCAATTCACGACCGCGACCGCGACCGACGCGCCGTCATCTTGTCCCTTTCTTCTCTCCCGGCCGGGCTGAAGGCGACACCCTATACTATTTTGTAAGCTACTTAGGGCCCCTACAATTTTGATTTCAGCAGACGGGCGTTATACTATCTTGTAGCTTGCAATAATTCTAGTCCTGTTGTTCGTGAAGGCGTTTTCTCTAGCATCGTTCCATCAATCCAGATGCCTAGGGTTGTGATTTTGTTTGATCTTGTTGCTTTTAGGTTACTTGTACTGTTTACTTCACAGAGGCCCGAATTAATGTTCTTTGTTCTTTGCAAGTTATGCCAGATGCTTTAATTAATGTTCTTTCTGAATCTAGACACCGGCATTTCCAAAGTTTACAGTAAAATATGTCAAAATTCATGAGATCAGTTCTCGCTACTGTCTGATTATCCTACATGCTTAAAAAATTCGATCCTTTTTTGACCTTGATTTTGTAAATGTCAAGAAGCAAACCTAGAAATCTCAGAGCATGCATGATATAGCTAATAGCTTTGGTTCCATTGATGCGTGCAACATTCCCAGGTCTAAGTAGCACTGACAACTCAGTCCTCATTACATGTTGTGGTTTTCTTAGTGCTCAGTTAAACACTTCCTATTATGTCTGTTCAACAGATAAGTGTTCTTGCGGACACATATTTGCTTTTCTTTATGTATGTGTGTCAAAAGGGAAAGGTTCACATTTGTTGGTATACATATGCTTCTTGATGTCCTGTGGTACTGTAACCTAATAATCTTCGTATGCTTCGCTCTAATGTCTCTAATTTCAGTGCAGTATGATGTATACCTGCTAAACGTTAAGATTACCCATCAGCACAGCTGCTTTCCTCGATGGAGGATCTCCCAGAGCCACTGCTAGCAGAGATTGTCAAGAAGGTTGCCAAGAGAAGTGATCTGAATTCGTTTTCCCTTGTGTCAAAGCAGCTCTACTCCATTGAGGCATCACAAAGGGGTGCCATCCGTGTCGGCTCTGGCCTTCACCCTGCTAGAAAAGCCTTGGCATCACTGTGTTCCCGGTTCCCCAATTTGTGGAAAGTGGAAATTGATTACTCTGGTTGGACCAGTGGCCATGGGAATCAGTTGGGCAATAAAGGCCTCCTTGTGATCTCGTCATGCTGCCCCTCGCTAACTGATCTAACCTTAAGCTTCTGTTCACGCATAAAGGATTCTGGTCTTGGATATCTCGTTAATTGCAAGAAATTGATGTCTCTGAGGCTGAACTCCGTCCAAAAAATAACTTCAGGCGGGATCCTCTCAGTGGTAGTTGGTTGCAAGACTCTATCTGCTCTCCACCTTATTGACTGTGAGAAAATCGGGAGCGAGGGCTGGCTGGAGAACCTTGGATGTGAGGGGTCATTGGAAGAGCTTGTTGTGGAGAACTGCAAAGGAATCAGCCAGTATGACCTCCTAAAGTTTGGACCGGGATGGATGAAGCTCCTGAGGTTTAAATTTGACCCTGACCCCATGAGTTGTTCCTGGAATATATATGGTAGTGATGATCTCTCGTATGTGGCTCACTACCCATATAAATATGATTTTTGTTGCGAGAGTTTGACGGATTTGTCATTGGCACACATTGCAACTAAGCCAGGAATAGGACTTCGTTTTCTATTGGGGAAGTGCAAAGCATTGGAGAAACTGCGTCTGGAGTATATCAATGGCCTAAATGACAGTGACATGATTACACTATCCAAGTGCTGCAAAAACCTTAGAAGCATCTCACTTTGGCTCCTGCCACAGTTCTATGGTGGCAATTTCAGGACGGCATTTACTGATGACAGCCTGAAATCTCTAGCTGTCAGCTGCCCTATGCTTGAGTCTATTGAACTCACATTTGATGGTTGTGAGCCCTTATATCCATCAGAAATAGGCTTCACACAGGATGGCCTTATCATGCTCATTCAGTCTTGTCCGATTCGTGTTCTTGTGCTAAGGGGTGCCAACTTTTTTGCAGACAAGGGGATGAAGGCCCTCTCATCTGCTCCATTACTGGAGACACTCGAGCTTGTGTGCTGCAGAGCGATAACAGATGCTGGGATGCGTTTCATTGCACGTGCCCCATGCTTGATCAATCTCACACTCCGGATCTGTGCACAAGTGACTGATGCTGGAGTGGCCATGCTAGTACATGCACTGAAGTTAGAGTCTCTGATCATTGAAGGCTGTGACCGGGTCTCTAAGAAGGCTGTGAAGAGGGTTGGTGGATCAGCTCAGTGCCACACTTCCAAAAAAAGATTGGTTCAGTACTCCGCCGAGTCTGCAAGCCCGGCCGAATTAAAAAGAATTCGCTACTAATGCTGTTTGAGTTTAAAACCATATGCTGGGTTCATGCTGGACTTCGGACGACTTCAGACGGTGCACCACTAGTGTTGCTCTACGGTGCTACTCCCTTTGTCCTATAATATAAGATGTTATTACAGCCAATATACTCACATATTTGTTGTAGTAACATCTTATATTATGGGACAGAGGGAGTACTACTTTGTGTATTTTTCTGTGTTTGCACTTGACAAAATTCACTTATTCTGCCCAAGATTCGGTATTTCAGGTTGTGAACTTGCAGATCGTAGCAGTGCAACTTGATTCTGCATGCGGTGTTCAACATAATTATTTGGCTGTTTGCTTTCACTGTACTTCTGCAACCTGTAATATTGTGGAAACAGTTTTGAATATGGCTGTAGCATGCTCTCTCTCGACCATTTTTTTTCTGACGTGCATATGTACGGTACCTAGCAAGCATCGATGATTCGAATATCTGGCCTGCGCCCATAGTCTGTTTTGTTTAAGTTAGCAAAGGGTTTGAAGGCCTAGCTGGTTTTAAATGAAAAAGAAGACCCTTTTGTAGGCTGGGCAATGGCAATTTGCAAGGATATGTGCGAGTTTTTACTCGCAACTACAAAGGATTGACTCCAGATACATGCATGCTGCAACCGTGCAATAGACGCAGTGTTCATATGTGCAATAGACGCAGTGTTCATATGTTCCAAAATACGGAGGCAAAAGTTTTGCCTCATCTCATTGACTAAGAATCTAAATACGGAAAGCAAGATAAAAGACAATATCATAAAACTTTTTCTTTGACTTTCGGGTGAGCATCTATCAAGGTTTACTTTTTCTTTGATGAAAATGCATCTGCTGCTTTTCATTGCGATTAGTAAGAGTAAATGTTATAAATGAAGAGAAGGGGATGGGAAAAGATCAAAGATAAAAATACAATTGTGGGTCTTAATCTGGCTCAAGAGGTATTCTAATGGGCCGTCACTCTACGTCTTCCTTCATTCACCCATTCCATAGCTTGGAGTTGAAGCATCTGGAATCGCGTCCGAGACGAATATGTGTGTTTCTGAATATCCTCTCTGTTGACGTATAAATGCATGACCCACCTCTTCCCATCAGCTTACCTTTTGGGTAAACTGGTTGGTGCCTGAGGAAACCACACGTGAAAGGGAGTGTTGAAACTTGAGCTTTTAGCGGTAATACCCTACATCCCGCATGTCTGACTTTATTGATTGATGTCTCGTATGAGATCTTGTCTCACGACTTGGGAGGCCCCTACCTCCTCTTATATATGTGGACAACAGTAGTGTTACATGAGCGCAAGTCGGTTTACATGGTAGAGCCGGTAGATCCTTAGATCTACTAATACGTGTATCTTGGGGTAGGTGTCCCTATGGAGGAGGCCTGCTGGTAGGGTGAGGGACATGGACTGATCGACTTCATTGGAGGTCGGATACCCTGGGTATGTTGTATCGTCAATAGCCCCTAAGTCCTTCATGAGCTCAATTGCTGCGTCAAGGTTGATATGGATCCGAGAGCGCCATCTAGAATTTCATGGCGAGCTCTTTGAGGGGCACCTGAGTATACTTGAAATAATAATTGATCTTGTGTTGGCTCGCCTTGAAGAGGTTGAAGATAACACGACTTGTCGGGGTTGTGGGCCCTGGGAGGTCGAAGACAACCGTGCCTGACGAACAAGGTGTCTGACTCTCCCTTTCTTCTTTGTTGTTGGAGACATCCAGGTTCATAGAAAATCGACTTTAGAAATGGTGATTTGAGCGAAGCATGAAGCGTCACAATTTCTTTTTCTTTTGTAGACACTAAGGCATGATAGCGCAGAGTGTAGCCCCCGAGCCTGGTTGACTTGCGGAGTACTTGTAAGGCCAATAAAACATGAAAAACCTGTAATTGCATTATGTCAAACACTAGAACACCGAGTGGACATAGTCAATGTAGATGTTTTGTTTAACTGTGGGGTTGTTTTACTAATAACCTATAAATGCGTAGCATTTACAATAAGCAAGAGCGTCGAACCCAACAATAAGCAAAAGGAATTAGTTGATGGAAACCAATAACAATTCACTGTAAAAGGCTTCAAATAATGACAAAAGTGCAACTGTGCATCAAGTGACCCAATCTTTAATTATGCTAAGGACAAACAATTGTTTTACTTTAATTTTTATTATGTTTATGGCGCTTTGTATTTCTGGTGAATATTTATACTAGATCTGTCTTTTCTATGAAAAAAAATCATCAATCGAGGTCTCAGATTGTGGATCTTGTATTTCCCAGCCTTGAGCAAGCATTAGATGCTAATTTGAGGAGAACCAACAGGAGTATTGCTGTAGTAGCTACAACTGATTGCTGGACAGTCACATAGGGCAGTATCATTCCCATATAATTATTGCAGAGTTGTGTATCTTTGATTCACGAATGGTAGGACCAAGGAAAGACAAATGAAATGCTTTGCAGTCCAGAAGAGCGTTAATAACAATTTAACGACGCTGGTTGGCTGAATGTCCTGCTAATGAAGGTCTGTATGAACATATCAAGTAAGCCCTGCTAGCAATGCTTCATTCCCTACAACTATTTCTTGTGGTATTACTTTAATAGTGAGTACAAGTTTGCAATCTCATATATGCAGAGGCTGGCTGCTAATGGGTTCTAGGTGGCCGGGATTGAGGAAATTATATTAGCCAAGGAGTGAGCCCTCTGTTTTGTGGTGCAGCAGCATTGAGTGTTACAGTGTACATTATATTATTTTTTCCTTCTCTTTTTATAATTGTAACTGAATCTTTTATCTCTTAATGAATTGAAATTAGGACTGCTGTTTTTTTTAAATGAATTTATATTTCTAGAGTATTTAATGCTTTAAAGGACTATAAAAGCTCATGCTGAGTGTGTAAATTCCTATCATTTTGTTGTCATGGAGCTCTGAAAAATGACATTTTTCTTCCATTTCCCTTTTCTTCATTCCAGATCTGAACCGTGTTGTTGCTTATCAATTCTCACATATATTTTTATCAGTTTCACAAGGATGCATCCCTTCTTACATGGGGAACCCGATAACAAGAACGAGTAGAGCTGGCTGCCAACCTCCTCCAAGGAGGACAACTATGGTGCGTGACCTCAAGCAATTGTTAATTTAGATTGGTAACAATAATTGAAAATCCTATAGATTTCATTTGTTTTGCAATTAGCGGTACTGGAAATTGCTCTAGGCACAAGAATGGTGAAGGTTACTGGTTCTTAGGAAATGTGGTTCTTTTTATTTCCATCATGTTAGAAGTTGCATGTATAGAACTAATGAAGCCGATAATCCAGTTATGTGCCAGTACCTTCAAGCGTTGGTTTATTTGTAGAGACACGGTCTTCCTCATTCGCTACGACCATGTGTAGAAAAACAATATTGATCTTTACGTAGAGACATAGTCTTTCTCATTCTTAAATCATTTTCTTTTGCAACCTGCTACCTCTTGAGCACTGCGTTGGTTTTTCTTTCAAGAGGAAAGGGTGATGCAGCAAAGTAGCATAAGTATTTCCTCCAGTTTTTGAGAACCAACGTATCAATCCACAGGAGATCACGCTCGAGTCCCACACACCTACACAAACAAATAAGAACCTCGCAACCAACGCGATAAAGGGGTTGTCAATCCCTTCACGGTCACTTACGAGAGTGAGATCTGATATATATGATAAGATAATATTTTTGGCATTTTATGATAAAGAGAAATAAAGATGCAAAGTAAAATAAACGACAAAGGAAATAACTAAGTATAGAAAGATTAATATGATGGAAGATAGACCCGGGGGCCATAGGTTTCACTAGTGGCTTCTCTCAAGAGCATAAGTACTACGGTGGGTAAATGAATTATTGTCGAGCAATTGATAGAATTGAGCATATTTATGAGAATATCTAGGTATGATCATATATATATATATATATGCATCACGTCTGCGACAAGTAGACCGAAACGATTCTGCATCTACTACTATTACTTCACACATCGACCGCTATCCAGTATGCATCTAGAGTATTAAGTTCATAAGAACAGATTAATGCTTTAAGTAAGATGACATGATGTAGAGGGATAAACTCATGCAATAGGATATAAACCCCATCTTTTTATCCTCGATGGCAACAATGCAATACGTGTCGGTTCCCTTTCTGTCACTGGGATCGAACACCGTAAGATTGAACCCAGATCTAAGCACTTCTCCCATTGCAAGAAAGATCAATCTAGTAGGCCAAACCAAACTGATAATTCGAAGAGACTTGCAAAGATAAACCAATCATACATAAAAGAATTCAGAGGAGATTCAGATATTGTTCATAGATAAACTGGATCATCAACCCACAATTCATCGGATCTCGACAAACACACCGCAAAAGAAGATTACATCGAATAGATCTCCAAGAAGATCGAGGAGAACTTTGTATTGAGATCCAAAGAAAGAGAAGAAGCCATCTAGCTAATAACTATGGACCCGAAGGTCTGAAGTAAACTACTCACACATCACCGGAGAGGCCATGAAGTTGATGTAGAGGCCCTCCGTGATCAATGCCCCCTCCGGCGGAGCTCCAGGAAAGGCCCCGAGATGGGATCTCTCAGGTACAGAAGGTTGCGGTGGTGAAATTAGGTTTTCGTGGTGCTCCTGGATGTTTGGGGAGTACGTGGATATATATATGAGGAAGAAGTACGTCGGTGGAGTATCGAGGGGCCCACGAGGGTGGAGGGCGCACCCATGGGGTAGGCGCGCCCCCTGCCTCGTGCCCTCCTTGATCGTTTCTTGACACCCACTCCAAGTCTCCTGCATCATGTTTGTTGAGAAAATCACGTTTCCGAAGGTTTCATTCCGTTTGGACTCCGTTCGATATTCCTTTTCTTCGAAGCCCTAAAATAGAAAAAAAATAGCAATTTGGGTTGGGCCTCCGGTTAGTAGGTTAGTCCCAAAAATGATATAAAAGTGTAAAATAAAGCCCATTAACATCCAAAATAGATAATATAATAGCATGG